CCTTTCCCAATTCTTCCTTCGGAACTGCAAATGGGTCTCCCAAATAAAAAATATTATTCATGAAACGTACTCCAACCAGAAACTGCGGTTCAATTCCAACTTGAGCTTTTTTTTAGCTCCATTCTTATTTATTACCGTCGTCCAGTTATTCTTACCAACTTCACTCGCGCCAACATAATCAAACATTGCATCCGCTTCCGCCATTACACGGCCTGCCACCACCGGGCCAAATTCAAGCTCATCAGAGATTTGGGATATAATGATGAGATACCTATGTCTCCAATCTAACAATGGGATTCGTTGTCCACAGAGCGGAATGGTGGGCTGTCAAGCTCCCGCCTATTCCTCTTTGGATTGGTGGATACATCTTGTTGGTGGATACATCTTGATACTTGTTATTTTAATACTTTTTTGAATATTTGATGAGGGAGGTTGATGTTAACCGCCTGTATTCAATGGAAAGATGCTATGCTACTACCCTCGTCATGAATATGCATAGCAATCTCGAGGCAACTCCGATATAGTATTTTTTTCTCCAAGTTGCCGGGATGTCACGTGTCCTACTTATCAGTACACTTGTAAAAACCTAAGCGTTAACAAACTTCTATTAGATCAAATCAACCTCACGTAGCAAATAAGCCATTACAATTTTTGTTGACCAAATTCAACACTCATTGACCTCCATACAAAAACTCCTCGCTTGGTGAGCGAAAGAAACGAAACAACGTCACCTGCTGGGAAGACAGATTTTTGGCCCAGTTATCCATCTCGCTTTACCTCTTTCCCTTTGAGTTCGTCCAGCCACCTTCCATTTTCTTCTTTAAAATTTAAATTGGCGGATCGCAACCAACTGAAGGGTGCATACACCGCCACCTGTTGTACTGGAATGTGAGGCCGGCCACGCCCTCCCCATTAATCTATTTCTCTTATCTAGGTCTGTGTTTTCGCCTACTGTTCTGGAGTGTGAAGGGAAGGGGAAAAACTCAGCATGACAGACAGTGTCTTCTCTGTTTCACCACGCTCTCCACCGGGTCTGCGTCGCAACAAACAGGCGTCACAGACACACCGGGGATCTTCCATTTCAGCTGGTCCTCCTCAACACTTAACGCCACTCCAGTTATCACTCCTTTCAACGGCACCTTGTTCCGGAGAGCAAAGCATGTCACAGGTCTTATCCCGAGGCACGTGGTGCGGCGAGGCCGCTCCCTCTGGATGGAAGACAAAAACTAAATCACAAGTCCACTTCGAGTTACTTTCACCGATTTCAACATTTCCCAACCTCTTCTTCACCAACCCTGACACCACATGGATCAGCCAGAAGGCAAGGATCCATTCTCTCAAAAAATCTCACTCCTACTGGGACAGAATTAGAATCATCCTTGTCATTTACATTTACATTTTAGTCATTTAGCAGACGCTCTTATCCAGAGCGACTTACAGGAGCAATTCGGGTTAAGTGCCTTGCTCAAGGGCACATCGACAGATTTTTCACCTAGTCGGCTCTGGGATTAGTACCAGCGACCTTTCGGTTACTGGCACAACGCTCTTAACCACTAAGCTACCTGCCGCCCCATCGTCATCATCCTGATAAGGCCTGAACTCTGCAGTCTTCCCCGCATGTGCCACCGCAGGTAATTCCTCCTCACTCTCATCAGGTTCGTTTTCTGAGCTACCGAAGTGCGTATGTTTTTCTTATTTTTGTACTTTGACGCCAATCTTTCTCACCACACCGCTTCCCTCTACACTCAGCTCCTTTCCTTCTTCTCCACGCTCTTTCCACTCCTTCATCTGCTGTAATAGCAAATGGTTCTTGTATCTTGAATATTACCATATTCCTCCACTCCGGAAACCTTTATCCTTCTCATCCTCTCGTTGTAGCTAGTTAGCGAACGTCTCCTTCTTTTATGGTATATTGGCATTCACAATTTAGTGTGCTGGCTGCCACCTACTGTCCGGAATGGAAACAGGATTTAAAAAAAACTGAACCGATGTACAAACTACCAAAATAAATAAATGAAACTAAATCAAACTACTTTTCTGTTAAAAATAAAATGGATAACTAGGTCTCCATTCCGTGTGACATTGTTTCAACTTCTGTGTTCTAGTCCTTAGAATCACTCTGTCTTCTTCTTCTATAGTATAGAGTACCACAGTATGAGTCATAATACCCATAAAACCTAGCGGTCAAACAGGGAAATGGTTCCAATCGTTTTTCCACCATTCATCTTTCCCATAGTGGTTTTTAGAAACACTTAAATTAAGGGCTGTGTTCCATGTAGGCTTACCCTGGCGTGATGTTTTGATAACTGTGTAAATCTCTCTAGGACTAGGTGACTTTTATCAGTATATTCGCCTGTATTTACCCACCAAAATGGAAATGCTATTTAGCTGCTAATGTGGCGATCATAAACAACTTCAAATGCCATGATGATCTGGATGAGACTGCCGAATCGAGGCAAAGATAAGAGTCTCTGGATTAACTATCTAATGTTAGCAAAATGTAGTAATGAATAAATTAGCTAAATTTATTTAAATGGACTATTCTGTTAACTGTCTTATGCAAGTTTTAAATTGGCACAATACCTGTTAACAAAGGCATCAGATGACGTGCAGGAGCTTGCAGGGATTTGTAGTGTTGCATGATGTCTACTTTGATGCTAATTAGCATTTTCGAATCTGAGAGTAAATAGAGCCGAATATATTGATAAAATGTACCTTGTCCGAGAGAGATTTACACTACCGTTCAAAAGTTTGCGGTCACTTAGAAATGTCCTTGTTTTCCATGAAAACATACATGAAATTAGTTTGAATAGAAAATATAACAAAATGAATAGGAAATGTAGTCATTGACAAGGTTAGAAATAGTGATTTTTAATTGAAATAATAATTGTCCTTCAAACTTTGCTTTCGTCAAATAATCATCAATTTGCAGCAATTACAGCCTTGCAGACCTTTGGCATTCTAGTTGTCAATTTGTTGAGGTAATCTGAAGAGATTTCACCCCATGCTTCCTGAAGGACCTCCCACAAGTTGGATTGGCTTGATGGGCACTTCTTACGTACCATACGGTCAAGCTGCTCCCACAACAGCTCAATAGGGTTGAGATCCGGTGACTGTGCTGGCCACTCCATTACAGACAGAATACCAGCTGACTGCTTCTTCGCTAAATAGTTATTGCATAGTTTGGAGCTGTGCTTTGGGTCTTTGTCCTGTTGTAGGAGGAAATTGGCTCCGATCAAGCGCCGTCCACAGGGTATGGCATGGCGTTGCAAAATGGAGTGATAGCCTTCCTTCTTCAATATCCCTTTTACCCTGTACAAATCTCTCACTTTACCACCACCAAAGCACCCCCAGACCATCACATTGCCTCCACCATGCTTGACAGATGGCATCAAGCACTCCTCTAGCATCTTTTAAATTGGTCTGCGTCTCACAAATGTTCTTCTTTGTGATCCAAACACCTCAAACTTTGATTTGTCTGTCCATAACCCTTTTTTCCAATCTTCCTCTGTCCAGTGTCTGTGTTCTTTTCTTTTTATTGGCCAGTCTGAGATACGGCTTTTTCTTTGCAACTCTGCCTAGAAGGTCAGCATTCCGGAGTCGCCTCTTCACTGTTGACGTTGAGACTGGTGTTTTGCGGGTATTATTTAATGAAGCTGCCAGTTGTGAGCGTCTGTTTCTCAAACTAGACACTCATGTATTTGTCCTCTTGCTCAGTTGTGCACCGGGACCCCCCAATCCTCTTTCTATTCTGGTTAGAGCCAGTTTGCGCTGTTCTGTGAAGGGAGTAGTACACAGCGTTGTACGAGATCTTCAGTTTCTTGGCAATTTCTCGCATGGAATAGCCTTCATTTCTCAGAACAAGAATAGACTGACGAGTTTCAGAAGAAAGTTATTTGTTTCTGGCCATTTTGAGCCTGTAATCGAACCCACAATTGCTGATGCTCCAGATACTCAACTAGTCTCAAGAAGGCCAGTTTTATTGCTTCTTTAATCAGCACTACAGTTTTCAGCTGTGCTAACATAATTGCAAAAGGGTTTTCTAATGATCAATTAGCCTTTTTAAAATGGTAAACTTGGATTAGCAAACACAAACGTGCCATTGGAACACAGGACTGATGGTTGCTGATAATGGGCCACTGTACGCCTATGTAGAAATACCATTTTAAAAAATCAGCCGTTTCCAGCTACAATAGCCATTTACAACATTAACAATGTCTACACTGTATTTCTGATCAATTTGATGTTATTTTAATGGACAAAAAAATTGCTTTTCTTTTGAAAACAAGGACATTTCTAAGTGACCCCAAACTTTTGAACGGTAGTGTACATGGTTATCAAGACGTCACGCCAGGGTATTCCTACATGAAACAGAGTCCTTATTTTGTGTTTCTAAAATCCCTTATGGAAAAAATGAGTGGTGGAAAAACGATTGGAACCATTTCCCTGTTTTGACCACTAGGTTTTGTGGGTATTATGACACCTCCACTGTGGGGCTCTATTATGGCAGTCCGCAAACGCAGGTTTTAGGTACATGTCACCACCTACTGTATAGGGTGAAAACTGGGGAACTTTAACACAGAAAAACAAAGGGAAAGGATGAAAAAAAACATACTTATATTATTTCAACAGTGCTTGATGATGTAGCCAAGCTTGTGAGCTTTGTGTCACGCCTGGAAGTTAAACTAGAGGGAACAAAGGGTTGTCACCTTTTGGTCTTCATTTAAGGTTAGGGTTAGTCATAAGGTTAGCAGTGTGGTTAAATGAAACTGGGATACCTAGTCAGTTGCACAACTGAATGCATTCAACCAAAATATGTCTTCCGCATTTAACCCAACCTCGCTGAATCAGAGACCATAAGCTTGGCACCTAAGATTTTAAGAAGATCAATTGTAGAAATAGGCAGGGTTTAGCCATTTGTGGCTGTGGTAGCTAGTGACGGCCAGAACACGGTGTCCAATGTCTTGAAATGTATTTTGCTTGCTTACACTCTGATAAACAATGGTTATGTCTTCTGCCTAGGTGGTGTCTACTGTCCAGTGCATCAGGGGAAGTTTTAATTGCTGGTGCGACCTAGATAGTGGTCTGATGCATTGCCAAAACGTCCAGACTGGAACCAAGCAATGCACAGAGGAGGCTGCCCTGCACGGGTGTCAAACTCCAGTCCTTGAGGGCAGCTGCAGTGTCTGTGGGTTTTCCTTTCTCCATTGCACTTAACTGATCAGCCAATGTTATTGATTGGAGGCCAATGTACACCAGCGGTGTACTATATTAGTTAATGTGCAACATCCTGAACTTTACAGATAGAAATGGAATGAATAGACTCTAGACGATTCCCATTTCTAGATGACAGACAATCATATCTATTCTGCATAAAACATTTATATCTGAGCGTACTCTGTTGCACCTGAACAGGGCCCAGTTCTAAATTAGACACTGATTTAAAAGGGAAAAATGAATATCTGAATTGTATAGCGCACACCATAGAAAAACTGTTTAAAATAGAAAACACAAACAAGCGTATCTTATTGAACAACATTTCACTCCGTTTCGGGTCACTGTCTTTCATTTCGTGCCTACTGAACATGACCCAGCAGACACTGCGGCAGCCCTCCAGGTATTGAGCCCAGCTGTACAGGCATAAGCCCTCAGGGTTTTAGTTTGGCTTCAGAGAAGATGGATGATTGCAGTGGGACACCGGGGCTGAATGTTTACGTCAAAGAGGAGGAGGAGGAGGTGCAGGTGGAGGATTTCACATTGAAGGACAAGGAGGCATTCACAGTGAAGGAGGAAAAGGAGGAGGAAGCTTTCACAGTGAAGGAAGAGGTGTTGACTTTCACGTTTAAAAAAGAAGAGGAGGAGGTTTCAACATTAAAAGAAGAAGAGGAGGAGGAGGTTATCACAGTGAAAATTGAGGAGGATGGAGGTAAGAATTGCACAAGTAGGCCTAAGCAATGGCTTGAAAATGTCATTTCAACTCTTCAGTAGGACTGAAAGGGCAATTTGATGTTCTTCATTTAAGTTCCCAAGGGGATGTTCCACTCAAAATACAATTTAGCATGATTCTGAACACATAACTTGGCTGTTGATTCCCCAAGACAGACAATTTTTATATTTAGTTCACTTATATTAACATGATTTTGTTGGGTCGGTATTGCCATAGAGCCCCATTCAATTTAATTCCGAACATTTGTCAACACTGAACACTCCTATCCAACTCCTATTATAGCCAGTATCGCTTTCTGAAGAATGTGTCTGCATTAGATTTGTAAAAAGTCACTTTATTGCTAGAAAAAGTCTGTGCTTGCTTCAGCTGCTAAAAATGCTAAATGCTAACCGGAAAAGGGAGAAGTGGTAGGGAGCTGACAACGGTTATGTTATAACGCCTTCTAGCAAATATGTAACTTTATTTATTATTTTGTGCTGATAGTATATTTTTACTTATTTCCAAAATTATTATCTTCGTCACAGGAGAGAGGCCTAGCCCCAGCACCGAGACTAGATGGGGCTCAAAGAGTGGAAGAAGTTCGATACAGGAACCGGACTGGCGAGCTCCCGTGGAGAAACCTCACTGCTGTTCCCAGTGTGGAAAAACCTTCTCAGAGTCCGGAAACCTGAAGCAACACATGCGGACGCACAGCGGAGAGAGACCTTACCACTGCTCCAAATGCGGGAAACGCTTCATACAATTGGGACACTTCAACAGCCACCAGCGCACGCACACGCAGGAGAAACCGTTCAGTTGCGGTGAGTGCGGGAAAAGTTTCTCTCAGAGAATCAATTTGAAGAAGCACCAGCTCACGCACTCCGGTGAGAGGCCTTTCCTGTGCTCTGACTGCGGGAAGAGTTTCTCTTCATCCACCAACCTTAAAAGACACCAGAGCACGCACAGCAATGAAAAGCCATTCCAGTGCACCAACTGTGAGAAAAGTTTCACTCATATACACCACTTGACACGTCATCAGACCGTACACACAGGGGAGAAACCTTACACTTGCTCTGACTGTGGGAGGAGTTTCTCCCTCCAGGGGACTTTAAAGAAACACCAGCGCACACACACCGGAGAGAAACCGTACCAGTGCTTGCTCTGCGGGAAGAATTTCTCTCTTTCAGTGGCGCTGAAGAGACACCAGCTCATGCACACTGGGGAGAAACCATACCAATGCTCTCAGTGCGGGAAGAGTTTCACCCAAAAGGGACAATTAACTCAACACCAGGGCACACATGAACTAGAAAAACCTTACCCCTGCTCCCAGTGTGGGAAGAGTTACTCCTCAGCCCCCTCCTTAAAAGCACATCAGAGGACTCACACAGAGTCAACGTCACTCGCGATGACGCCACATTTCATTAAGTAAATTATTGAACTGGTTGTCTCTGATTGGGAGTGATAGGCTACATTTGAAACTATAGATTGTGCCTTAAATGCTTTGTCACCTTCATGTTCAAACAAAACCTTTAGGCCCAATTCCGTTTTCTCCCTGAAGTGTTCACTTGCACAGATTTAAAAGGAATGGACTGGGTTGCATTCAGTACCACAGAACAGTGCGCAACCTTGAATTCAATGGAAACGGCACTGTAATGAACGACCAGTTAAAAAACTTTGGGCCAATTGCAACCAGATTATCGCCATCTGATCTTTAGTTAAACCAGCAATAGGCAATAAATCACCCATACAGCTGATCTCAATTGCAACCATTATTGGACACCAATTACCTCTACCTAAAGTGGATGTTGGGCTTTACTCTTAGTCCTAATTTTTCAAGACTATTTTGCCCTCTGTTGGGTATTATCATCGGAACAGTTTAATCCTGTTTTTTTAGCAGATTGAAGGCGATTTATCTATTTGACAAGCATTCCATACAACTCAAAGTATTTAATTTCCTTTTTTGCCATGGCAAATCTACTATGGCAATGTAGCCTACCCTACACATTTTATGAATGTAAAAGTAATGGTGTAGGATACATTTGTTTCCAATTTATGTAATCCATTAATGATTTTAACTTGTCTAAATAAAATAAGGCAATTTTTTATCAAGAGAGGTGAAGAAAATATTCCTGAACTGTAGGATACAAATTTGAAACTAAATTGTAATTGTGTTGTAGGCAATTTTTTATTAAATGATCTTGTATTGTACTTAATTAAAGTGCTTCATTTTATATTGATATTTAAATTGTCTATCATATGTTGCTGCAATCCATATCACTTTCATTTACAATATGGTAATTAATTAAGTTGGGCTTCAATAACTTTATTTTCTTAGAAGAGTAGCCTCGATGGAGGCATAATTTGGCGTATGTTTTTTGACAGGCTACATTTCCAGTCAAATTTTTATTTCAGTTGTAATATGTAATTCTTCCATTGATCTTTTTCCTATTTTCAGTTCATTCTTCCTGATAGGAAATATTACTTAATTGGGATGGGAGTAGTGAACGCAGACAAGGATAATTTTCGCTGTCTAGTATCATGCCGGCTTGACACTGTAACGACGTCATACGTCAGTATGTATGCACTCACTAACTGTAAGTCGCTCTGGATAAGAGCGTCTGCTAAATGACTAAAATGTAAATATCAGCTGGTCTGTTAGTTTATTCTGGTGTTCTTTTCGTTGCAATCACTGTTATTTTAGCTCAGAGCTCCGTGTAATCTCCCGGTAGTATCGTTTTAAGGAAACCAGTGTTAACACAGTGGTGAGTGCGATGTTCAGCTTGTTTGTTGCAATGAACTCGTTGTGACTATGGTGGCCCAGAGGGCAGATCCCATATGGTGTGCAGCACGAGTTTTGCGATTTACGATGGTCACACCAATATTGATCAGGCAACACCTAACCACACCCACCAAATGGGAATAAACATACCTCAAAGGCTGTAGAAGAAAGGTGCGCACTGTTTTGGGGCAACGTGTCATTCAGTATAAACCATCACGCAAATTAGCAAACGTTGAAGTGAATTGAATGCACCCCTGGTGTTATGCTGCGTTCGTAACCAAGTGGGAGGTGGGAATTTCCCACTTGTACAGTCATAAATACCAGTTGGATGCATTCGCATGCTTTGAACTCGTTGAGAAACGCTAATGTCCAACAAGCTGCGTAAACATAAACTAACACTACAGCTATCATGCTTGTTAACAAATTAGTGTTCAAAAACCATATTAATAGATTGCTTTTTATAAATAATGTGTTGTTGCATTTAAAGGGCCAATGCAGATGTTTTTATCTAAATATCAAATCATTTCTGGTTAGCAATTAAGTACTTTACTGTCTATAAACAAATAACTTCTTAGCAAAGAGCAATTTCTCGAGCAAGAATTTTGCTAGGACTGTCTGGGAGGGGGAAACTTGCTGTTATTGGCAGAGAGGTTTGGAACTCTCTTTCTTATTGGTCTATTAACTAATTTACCACCTGGTGATGTCACAATGCAGGCCAAAACTATATCCCGCCAAAACTATATCCCACTAAAACAGGCAGATATTTTAGGCTGTCTTTTCAAACAGCTCTTACACTAAAAGGGCATTATCATCATTTTCACAATTTCACAGTATTATTCTAACCTCGTAGTGTGGAAATGTCACATTGTGCCCATGCTGTCACAGTTGCTACAATAGCACAGATACAAAGATGAGTCCTCTATATATCTATGATTTTCCCCAGTGGTATGTGGTAAATTTTCACTTCCCACTTGGTTACAAACGCAGCATAAGGAATGTGTTGGGAACTCCCTCCAGCCAGTGCATACACCAATCCAATGGCACTAAATCTTTGAGGGGGAGTGAACAACTTGGGGGAAAAGGGGGAGAAACTAAATTGGGTGTGTACCTTCCACCCCTTTACTAATCCCACTTCTCTGATATTGGACTGCACTAAGTAAACTGACTGAAGTTCAATGCTCACTGCATGTAATGGCTGAATTGATTATGATATACTGTATTTTATTCATATGATCTTACTAATATGGTTGTTGTATTTATTATAATTTTTTTCAGCCTTGTAAAACCAAGCAAATTGTCAAATGGCAAAATATTTCTGATTGTAAAATGTAATCACCTCAACAGATAGATCAGAACTTCAAGCAGCTTTGTCCAACATACAAGTTAGCCATTATTGCACAAATTAATATATATATCAATGTAATCAGCACAGATGTTACTAATCTGGTTCTCTTATTGATTCTATTCAATAAAAACATAGGATGCTTGAAAAGTTATTTATTGAAAATTATAAAAGTGGGGAAGAAAGGAGAATGGAAGTTGTAGGAAAGTGTTAAGGCTCTGTTTTCAGCTGGCCTTAAGCCAGCACAATTGGCAAATGCATGCTCATTTACAATTTCGACCTGTTAAAGCCGGTGCTCTTCTACACTGAACAAAAAATATAAACGCAGAAAGCAACGGTTTCAAAGATTTTACTGAGTTACAGTTCATATAAGGAAATCGGTCAATTGAAATAAATAAATTGGGCCCTAATCAATGGATGTCACATGACTGTGAATATAAGGTAGGGGCGTGGATCAGAAAACCAGTCAGTATCTGGTTTATTTGGTATTTTATAAGGCTCCCCATTAGCTGTTGCAAAAGCAGCAGCTACTATTCCTGGGGTCCACACAAAACATGAAACATGACATAATACAGAACATTAATGGACAAGAACAGCTCAAGGACAGAACTACATAAAAAAAAATTCAAAGGCACAAGTAGCCTACGTATCAATACATACACACAAACTATCTAGGTCAAATAGGGGAGAGGTGTTGTGCTGTGAGGTGTTGCTTTATCTGTTATTTTTTTTAACCAGGTTTGCTGTTTATTTGAGCAATATGAGATGGAACGGAGTTCCATGCAATAAAGGCTCTATATAATACTGTACGCTTTCTTGAATTTGTTCTGGATTTGGGGACTGTGAAAAGACCACTGGTGGCATGTCTGGTGGTGTAAGTGTCTGTGTCAGAGCTGTGTGTAAGTTGACTATGCAAACAATTTGGGATTTTCAACACATTAATGTTTCTTATAAAAAGAAGAAGGGATGCAGTCAGTCTCTCCTCAACTCTTAGCCAAGAGAGACTGGCATGCATAGTATTTATATCAGCCCTCTGATTACAATGAAGAGCAAGACGTGCCGCTCTGTTCTGGGCCAGCTGCAGCTTAACTAGGTCTATCCTTGCAGCACTCAACCAAACGACTGGACAATAATCAAGATAAGACAAAACTAAAGCCTGCAGAACTTGCTTTTTGAAGTGTGGTGTAAAAAAAGCAGAGCATCTCTTTATTACAGACCGACCTCTCCCCATCTTTACAACCATTGAATCTATATGTTTTGACCATGACAGTTTACAATCTAAGGTAACGCCAAGTAATTTAGTCTCAACTTGATCAACAGCCACACCATTCATTACCAGATTCAGCTGAGGTCTAGAACTTAGGGAATGATTTGTACCAAATACAATGCTCTTAGTTTTAGAGATGTTCAGGACCAGTTTATTACAGGCCACCCATTCCAAAACAGACTGCAACTCTTTGTTAAGGGTTTCAGTGACTTCAATAGCTGTGGTTGCTGATGCGTATATGGTTGAATCATCAGCATACATGGACACACATGCTTTGTTTAATGCCAGTGGCAGGTCATTGGTAAACATAGAAAAGTGTAGAGGGCCTAGAGAGCTGCCCTGCGGTACACCACACTTTACATGTTTGACATTAGAGAACCTTCCATTAAAGAAAACCCTCTGAATCCACGATATGGCAGAGGTTGAAAAGCCATGTGCAGCCAAAACTTATTAGCCACTCCTTTTGCCCCATCTCTTTCAACCATACAGTTTTTAAATTCCTCATCAATCCATGGAGCCTTCACAGCTCTAACAGTCAATTTCTTAACAGGTGCATGTTTATCAATAATTGGAAGAAGCAATTTCAAAAATGAATCAAGTGCGGCGTCTGGATGCTCCTTATTAATCACATCAGACCAACAAATATTTTTAACATCATCCACATAAGTCACAGCAAAATCTTTTGTATGATCTCTTTAACACTATTTTAGGCCCAGCTTTTGGAACTTTGGCTTTCCTGGATATACAGTTGAAGTCAGAAGTTTACATACACTTAGGTTGGAGTCATTAAAACTCGTTTTTCAACCACTCCACAAATTTATTGTTAACAAACTATAGTTTTGGCAAGTCGGTTAGGACATCTACTTTGTGCATGACACAAGTAATTTTTCCAACAATTGTTTACAGACAAACCGCTCAGGAAGGACACGTGTTCTGTCTCCTAGAGATGAACGTACTTTGGTGTGAAAAGTGCAAATCAATCCCAGAACAACAGCAAAGGACCTTGTGAAGATGCTGGAGGAAACAGGTACAAAAGTATCTATATCCACAGTAAAACTAGTCCTATATCGACAT